TCATATTTCTCCAATGCAGGATGTCTTTTGATTTCTTGACTGCTTCTGTATGCACTGTATTTCATCTCCAGTCTCTTCTAACCCCCACCCAAAGACCAAGGTCACCACCCTACTTCTCACCCTCCCAGAAACTTACATCAAAGGCCTGGGAATAGGAGGAGGCCAACTTGACTTTGAGCCTGACGGAGAGAAAACAGATGTTGAGGGCTCTGATTCCCACCACCACCTGCTGAGAGTCACCCTGCTGCCCCACGAACTCCACCTCCAACCTGCCCCAAGTATTGCTCACAGAGATCAGGAAACCTGGGTATAGGCGGGTCCAACTCTTTCCAACCTTAACTTAGAAACTCAATTGCCCTGCCTGTAAAATGGATCTGGAGAGATCTAACACCTCATGTCCACTATCTGTGACTCCAGTCTGATTCTAAGCTGTTTCACCCTAGGTAAGTGGCTAACTCTCTCTGAGGAGTCACCTTCTGCAGGACTGAGCAAAGAACACTGCATGCAGCAGGCAGTCACAGGAGGCAGTCACTCACCAAAGGCCCAGGGCTGGCCCAGAGCTGGACAGAGATCTCCACAGACCCCTCTGGGGAAGCCTGTGCTTCCAGGCAGGGAGAGACAGCCCTGTGACAACACTGGATGTAGAATGCAGAGGCCCAGACTGGACACAGCATTGTAGACACCCCAGCACATGAGCCTGGGCCTCCAGCACCCTCTTCAAACTCCCTTCATGTAAAGTGCCACATGCGTGGAAGGAAGGCTTGCTATCGACTTCATCACCTCAGTTCTTGTTATTATCATGATGTCTTATAACTACAGTGATGGGAAGGGAAATTTGATAAAAAAGGCACAAGAATAACAAAGCATTTTATAGTAGTCCAGACCCATTAGCTAAGTGGTTAGCATCTGGGGCACGGAATTCAGGAGTCTGACTCCATTTCCTGCCTGGTTTATTTCAGGTTTGTGGAATACTGGGGGGCAGAGGAAGAAGCCCAACCCTAGAGTCTGCTTCTCTGAGCCTCAGATTGCCTCATCTGTGAAAAAGGGCTAGAAAACAGCCCCTTTCCAGGCAGGTCCTGAAGGCAAGGATGAGGCTGGTAAAACACCTGCATTCTAGGCAATGGTTGGTAGTGGCAGGCAGGCCCTGCTGCTCTCTAGTTCTTGTTCCTAAAGACGAGGCGCAGGGCCCCAGGTTACCGTTCCAGGGAGAGGGAAACATGCAGCTTGGTCGCCGAAGGAGCCAGCTGGGCATTTAGAGTCAGAACCTGTGTGAGGAAAGCAGTCAGAGGTCACCTTCACATTCAGCAGAATGAGGCCCCAGGACAGGACGACCTTGCAAAGAGGTGGACCACAGTGGGCGTCCAACATCTATCTGTTCCCTTCCTCACATCATCTGTGGTATGTTAAGTTCTGTGCTGGGCACTTAAGGAACATATGAATAGGTATTATTGGCATGACGAGTCCAGAAGAAGAGTTGCATAGTAAAGTGGTCTGGGGGCAGGGGGAACTGTATAACAATGAAAGGAATTTTTCTCAAAAGAAAAAAGCAAACTGAGGGAGAGGGGGGACGGGGAAGAAAATGTGTAACAATGAATGAATGGAAATTACAAAAAAAAGAAAATGTTCAAATCTATTAATACCAAATAAAGTATACATTTTCTTAAAAAAAAGAGAGAGAGAGATGTCTTAAAGGTTCTGGGGTTCAACAAAGAAGCCCTGACAACATGATGTGTAATATATTGGGCTGACAGGGTGATAGCTCAAATCCATGAGCATCTTCAAGAGAGAAACAGGCGTGATCTTCTAAAGATTTGTAGCCTCAGAAACTCAATCTGTTGGAGCAGACCTGAAAGCCATGGGGTTTGGTTTGATTTGGTGCTCAAGAAACCAAACATTCTGAGTGAGTGTTGTAGGTTGGACAATGAAAGTCCTCGGCTCAGCCTGCCAAGGACCTTGAAGGAGTGGGGAAAGCTTCCTCAGGAGGTAACACCTGACTGAATCTTGAAAGATGAGTTCAGCAGGAAAAGGAGAAATGACACTGCAGGGAGCAGAGCCTGAACAGATAAAGACAGGGGGGAGATGAGGCTTAGAGTGCAGGAAGGGGAAGGTCAAGGATGAGGCAGGAGGGCACTGAATACCAAGGTCAGGGACCTCTGTGATGGAAAACCAGGGCGGAGGGAGAGCAAGGGAAGCTTTGGCCCTGTGTGTCTGGGAAATCCAGAAGCGGGGTGGGATGGAGGGAGCTGGAGGGATGCCCAAGAGATAGCTGAGCACAGAGAGGAGCAGAGGAAACAGTAATATCTGAGATGCCAAGGAAACAGAGTGGACAGACCTGGGACCATCAGACCATGTGTTGAGGGAGCACGTTTCACCTGGGTCTCAGGCCAGATAGGGACAACAGGGGAAGGACTTTTCTGCGCTGTACCATGAGGGCCCTTCCCTCCTGAAGTGAAGAAGAAACCCCCAACTAGACAAGGGTGGGCCAGCCCTACTCAGAGCCCCAGCACCAGGCACCCTCCTCAGTCACTCACCCCGTTCAGGTCAAAGAGAGCTTCGGGAGTCCCTTTAGAGACGTAGGACTGCACGTGGATGGTGGCTGGGATGGACACCGTGGCCTTCTTGTTCTGGAGGGTGACAGTGGGCGCTTCCTTCACCCGCAGTGACAGCAGGAGGTTCTGGCCCGGAGGCAGCTTGCCCAGGGCCTGGAGAGAGGTGAGGCAGAGCAGAGGCTTGGGGTAGCTCAGAGGCCCTCCCCCACCCCGTGAGAGAACCAGCCAGACAGGCAGCACCCCTGAGCACCTACTGTGCACCAGGTGCCCTGCGAGCCCCCTGCCAGGCATTCTGATGAGACAACCTCAACGAACTGACTCTTGATCACACTTGCCTTCCCTGCCCCCCTCGCCCTAATTCTCTCCTCTCTGGACCCACTGACCACCTCACTCGCTGTTCCTCCAACTGGCCAAGCAGGGCCTACCACAGGGCCTTTGCACTTGCTTATCACCCACTCACCTCTTTCAAGTCTCTGTCCAAATGCCCACTCCTCAGTAAAGCTTTCGCACCACTCATCACTCCTAATCCACCTTCTCCTACTTTTTGTATTTTATTCATTTATTTCTTCAGTGATTTTTGCCCACTGTCCTCGCTCTGAATGGCAGCTCCCTGACACAGGAGATTTTGTCCACTTTTCTCTTTTTGCTTCTTCTGCACGCTGAGCACCCAGCACAGGACCTACTAATGGCTATTATTAGGTGTTATCAAGTCAACTACAACTCACAGTGACCCTATGAAAAACAAATGGCAACCTTGCCCTCTACTGCTCCATGTCCACAATCTCCACCATGTTCAAGGCCATTGCTGCACCGTGTCAATCCATCTCCTTGAGGGCTGTCCTCTCTTTTGTTGACCTTCCACTTCTCCAAGCATGATGTCTTTTTCCAAGGACTGGGACCTCCTGACAGCATGTCTTCATGACAGATTTGTTGTTCTTTTGGCAGCCATTGTTGCTGTTGTTGTTAGGTGCTGTCAAGTTGAGTATGACCCATTGAGACCCTATGAACAACAGATCTGAACCCCGTCCTATCCTGCACCATCCTCACACTTCCTAACACACTAGAGCCCATTGCTGCAGTCACTGTGACAATCCACCTGGTTGAGGGTCTTCCTCTCCTTCACTGACCCTCTGCCCTTCCAAGTATGACCCTTTCCACAGAATAGCTTCTCCTAACAATATGTCCAAAGTATGTAAGACGAAGCTTTATCATCTTTGCCTCCAAGGAGCAATTTGGCTGCACGTTCTCTAAGGCATATTTGTTCTTTCTTTTGGCTGTCCATGGAATGGTCATTGCTCTTCTCTAACACCACAGCTCAAAGATATCAGTTCTTCTTCCATCATCCCTATTCATTGTCCAGCTCTCAGATGCATGACAAGTGATTGGAAAAACCGTGGCCTGAATCAGATGCACCTTAGTCTTCAAACTGATATCATTGCTCCTCAATAATTTGGAGAAGTCTCTAATTGCAGGCTTTCTCAGGGCAATATGTCTCCTGATTCCCTGACTGGTGGTACCAAGGGTGTTGATTGTGGATCCAAGTAAGATGAAGTTGTTGACCGTTTCAATCTTTTCTCCATCTATCGGGATGTTGCCTATTGGTCCAGTGGTAAGATTTTTTGGGTTTTTTTTTTTTAGAATTTTTGTTTTCTTGATGTTGAGATATAATTCACATTGAAGCTGTTTGGCAGCCATAGCACATTCAATACTCATTACCATTAGTTTAAAACACCACAGTTTAAAGACATTGATTTTTCTTCTTTTGTTATTCATTGCCCAACTTTCAAGTGTATATAAAGAAATTGAATTTAATGCTTGATCAAACAGATCAAGCACATCTTGATCTTTAAGTTAATAGCCTCTTTCTTGAGAACTTTAAAGAGATCCTTAAGAGTGTACTTTTTTCTAAATGCAACATGTCTTTTGATTTCTTAACTGTTGCTACTATGAATGTTAATTGTGAACCCAAGTAAAAGTAAATCATTGATAACTTGAACTTTTTCTCCATCTACCATGATGTTTCTATTGATCCAGTTGTAAGGATTTTTGTTGTTTTGATACTGAAGTGTAATCCACATTAAAGGCTGTAGTCTTTGATCCTCTTCAATAAATGCTTCAAGTCTCCTTCACTTTCTTCAAGCAAGGTCGTACCATCTGTACAATGGAGGTTGTTGATTACAGCTGTCCCTCCTCATCTTGAGTCATATCACATCAACAAACGGAGATCTTTTATTGGGTGAAAGCTTTACCCCACCTGTGTTATTAAGGTAGACTCTCATTTCAGGAGGCAGCTCACTGCCCCAGTTGTATATTTATTCTCTTCCGTATTGAATAATGTCCCACTGCTAGTCACAGTATTAATTAATAAGGACCAGTTATTTCAGGAGTGGCTGGACAGGTTCTGCTTCTTAGTCTCTTAGACTGCTACACAGTGCATGTTCAATAAAGAAATATTAGTTGATTAACAGCATTCATTATATAATTGGGAAATTCTGTGACACAGTCTCTACTCTCGGGATGCTTGAATAGTGAATTCCCAGCATTGCCGAATCATAAAGACAGAGAATCACCCGATTACACCCTCACCCTTCAGCAGAACCTGGAGACACAGAAGCAGAGGGAGCACTATAAGGTCCTGACACCCGGAGGCCAGGGAGTACAGAACAAAGCCTTCAGCCTCCCATGGCAAGTCCAGCCTCTCCAAGGGTGAAGAACATTTCCTGGCTGCTACATCCACAAGTCCCTTTCTACTGCCTCTGCCTCACTCAACTCTGTCTCTGCTACTTACAACCTGCCCTCAAGATTTTTTTCCATCTCTAATCTCAATCAAATTCCTCTCTGTGACACCTGTGCCCTTTAGCAAAAGGAATCTTGAGAACTAGAGTCCCCAGTGCACCCCAGCTGCTTTGGCTCCCAGAAACCCAAGCCTAGCTTCTACCTCCACTCGTTTGGGTGGAAAACTAACTTCTTTGGCCTTTTTCCAACCTTGACCAGAATCTGCCAACTCAAGAACCTTGAAGCAGTCATTTAAGCCTCTGAATGAATTCAGATTCTCAAAGGTAGAAAGTGGCTAGTTCAACTGAACAAATAGGAAAGCTAAGATGATGCCCTGCTGTTACATACATACTGATGCCCAGCAAGCTAACCTCCCTGAGTCTTTCCCTCCTTAAGGCCAGAGACCTGAATCTTCTCTCTGGGGACAGAGAAGATAAGAACCAAGATGAAATAATGCAGTTGAGGGACAGGGTTCAGTAAGTTGCAAAGAATCTCCCCTCAACTTTCCTCATCTTGTCCTCTGTCTGATAGAGGACAAACCACAGTATGAATTTCCAATTGGTTTCCAGGGTAGTCAAATACTCTTCAAGCAAAGTTTTCCATAAGGGCACAATGGGTGTTAGTCATTCACACTTTAGTGTGAATTTGAACTCAATTATCAAACAGGTTGCTTGGAAAGTTAAAGTGAGAAAGATTCTGGAGTTAGCTCTGCAGTGATCAGAGTCTGTGGCTTCCAAACATCAGGGTCACTCACCTCTGGAACCAGAGCTGCCAGGTCTGTGGTTGTCAGTGGGACGTTACTGGGAACCTGGACCAAAGACCAAATGAGAGAAAGTGTGAACATAGCAACAAGGCAGAAATCTCTCGGCACACACAGAGTAGGTTGATAATAACACAATACCAACTGCACCCACGGCCCAACAACGAAGTTTTTCTATCAGCCATCTCTGCACATACTATGTGGCAGATGAAGGACTTTCCATGCCTTTGTTTCCTTCCGCCCTTTCAAAGAAGAGGATGTTATGATTGCCCCCATTTTATAGGAGACGAAACTGAGGTTCCTGCCCATGATCTTTTAACCACTCTGCCACAACTCCCAATCTGAGGGCCCAGGGGCCAAACTTGATCCCAGATATTTTTGTCTTTTACCTGTACAGTATTTTATAAAACTACAAATTTGCTTCCCAAAAAATGTGCTAATCTAGGAATTTTATATAAGCTTGCCAGTTACAAACTCAACTCAGAACTGACTCATAGCTGACCTTCTCGTCAGATTTCAGAGGCTAGAAATAGAGTGAGAGGAGATTGTCCACCTTTCTTCCATAAAGCAGCTGGTGATTCGAACTAACTGCTTTTGGGTTGGGAACACACAACTCCCACTCACTAGGCCACCAGAGCTCCCTGAACTTACTGATTTCTGACTAAAAGAGTTGCAAAATTTGGTCACATTGGACCTATCTGTCCCCAAGGAAGCTGAGTGGGAGTCACAGAAGAGACGAGATGCAGAATCCCTAATTCTGTGCAGTCCCATTTGGATTGCTTCCCTCATTCTGCCCCCTGAGCCCTGGTTGTTGAGACCCCTGAATTAATACAGCCAATTTCTGAAAACACACCTGTTCTTACAGAATAAACACACTGTCTCTTGGTCTGTAAGATTCCCAGACTCTCTGCCATCCCTCTTGGAGGTGGAGAGCATCTGGGAGTTCTCTGTCTCACGACGTTCTTCATGTGCACATCCACATCCCCTGACTGTGTGCACATGTGCACACACACACACAGCATTGAGCTAACTCTGACTACAACTTTCCCAATAAGAAAACAGTGCCTTTTGGGGATGCTGTCTCAAAAGCGTGGAGGCCTTCCAAGTGCTTCCTGGACCCTAACTCCAGGGAGTAGCCAAGCCTTGCTCTACTGAATTTGAAGCATGAGTGCAGAACCCAAGAAGTCAGGGTTCACCACTTCTGGATATGGCTAATTCCAAGAGAATGTTCCAATTGGAGCTTCTGGCTAGGCCTTCCAGACCTCTGCAGTTAGAAGAGCGGTCAGCATTGAAGCAGAGAGGTCTCAGACACTTCAGAACAAATTTCCAAGTGACCTTACACTCAGCCCAAACTGAGTTTTCTGCTTTTCAACACAAATCTGCTCCTGAGAAAGCAACAGGAGTGTTAACGCTTCACTTTAGGGTAAATTGTGGCTTCAGCTCTAGAAGGGCTCAGGGTAGAGAATTGGGTTGTTTTGTGTGCCAGTTCTGAGCAATCAGAGGTGGCTTCCTAGAGTGATGTATTAAGAAAAATTTAGAGTCTAGTTCAGGTTCAGCCAAGTAGAAGATCAAGGTCAATTATAACCACAAGTGCCGCAAGTACAGGCGAGGACAACAGCTTTGCCTATGTAATGAAATTAGCCAATTCCTAGACTAAAAAAAGAGGGCTCTCTAAAGGCTGAATAGGGATGAGGTGGCTAGGTCAGTGCTGGCACTACTATATACAAGGCAGGGAGCCCCCATGCCAGCATCCCCAGATGCCACACTCACCAGATCCGGGGTGATGTCTATGTCAAGGGCACCATTGGTCTGCAGGAGTCCAAACACGGTGTTGAAGAGGTACAGTGGCACTGTCACCTGGGATGTGTGGTCCTCCTTCGGGGGAACTTTGATGGGCTTGGGGGGCTTGGGAAAGTCAATGACGTCTCCAGCCACGCTCTTCACAATAGGCTGCGGGTTCAGGAGGAAGGACGTGAGAAGGTCTCAGGGTCACTCACTCACACAGCTGTGACCCAGCATCCCTTGCATAGCCCGCAGAGGACCCCACCCTACACCCAGGCAGGACCTCCAGAAGCACTTACATTGATGTCCAGCTCTATGTACTGGTTGGAGATGAGAGGCAGTGTAGCCAGAGTGAATTCCACGGAGCCAAGAGCTCCCAGGGGCACCAGGCCTGCATGAGGAGGGGGGTAGAGAGACTCCATGTGCCCAAGGCCCTGGCAATCATAGCCTCAACTTCCTGTTATTGAATTCCTACTAAATGTCCAACCCTAAACTAAGTATCCACTTGAGTGTTACTGTCATCCCATTTTATAGATAAGGAAACTGAGGCTCTGGCAAAACAATTCACCTGTCACAGAGTAAGAAAGCTAGGTTTTAAACCCAGGCCTGTCTTCAGAGCTGGTACCTTTAACCGCGCTGCTGCCCTGCTTCTTTCCTCTAACACCACAGATTGGGACATACCTGCACCAAGTTTTCTATCTGTACCCTAGTTGTACCTTTGTAAACTTTTCAGAACCCTTCTGCAAACATGAAACAAATCTGTATCTTCATAGGGCTCAAGGAGGCTGGGTTCTGCTATGACTTTAAGATGTCTGGACCTTGGTCATCCTGGATGTCCAGTGATGACATTGGGAATGATGTCTGCCTCGTGTTTCTGGTATAATAAACTGCAGGTGCTCTGTCAATGTTAGCCCGGAGCCCCTCAACAAGCTGGAAAAAGGCAAGGCCCTGAGTCCCCACTCCCCGCTGAACACCCTTGGCTGAGGGCTCCACAATCAGGACGCCTAAAGATGGTGGCCGTGTCAGTGTGAAGAGAAAGGGAAAGGTTCCAGAATTCTGCCCCTCCCCACCTCCCTTGGGACCCCACCTCCTTGGCAATGTGAGGGAGGAGGAGGGAGAGGGCACAGAGAAGGGGACTGGGCCCAACTTACTCAGCACAGTGCCCAGAAGCTCATTCACCACGCCCAGCACACTGTCCACCACGGGGCAGAGCTATGTCGTCGAGGGAGACAGACATTGCAGGAAAAACAAACGTGAATCCCAGCTCGGCACGGATGGCAGCTATTTCCTTTCAATAACTGACTATGTAGGCCCAGGGCTCAAGGCAAAGGAGTAATATGGGCACTGGGGTGGGGGTGGGGGCACAGAGGGGAGGCAGGGAGGTGGCCGGAGCTGGGATTTAGCTTTAAGTTTCAGAAAACAGAGGGAGTGGTGCAGAGGGCCTGGGACGCCCCAAGTCCTGCTTCCCTTTATTACTCTGGCCTCATCAGGAAACCTGAATGACACTGGAGGGTGACACCTTTCAGAGGTCAGTTAAAATGTGTGGACAAGGCTCTCCTTCGAGAAGCCCCTTATGCCCTCCCCAGGTGGACACAGAGAGGCCAGAGCCTTGGGGTTCCTGGGAGTTCTTGGAATTAAGGACTCCGGAGACTCCGGAGGGACACCTCATCCCCTCACTAGAGAGTCAGTCCTGGTGGCACCCACCATGCACACCGCTGCATGTTTCTTAGAAATCCCTGAGCCATGAGACCCAGGGAGCCAGTGAGAAACTTCCAGAACCTTGAATCTGAGACCCACAGTCCCACTTGCCCAAGGCCACACAACAGTTCAAAAAGTCACTAGAAGGTTGCGGCATTTAAACCTAGGGCCCCAATTTCCCAGGCCTCTAAAGGTCAGGCATATCAGACAACCGAGAGCAAGAGACTAGAAGGGGCTGTGCTGAACTGGGGGAGCAGCCCCTATTGGCACCAGCCACATGCGACCCACGCAGGAAGGGGACTCCAGGGCAGCTGGTTCGCCTAATTGCACAAGAGAAGCTAGAAATCCGGATTGTTCAACGAAATCTCCAATCTCTGAACATTGGCAATGAACTCTTGTTTAAAAACACTTTTAAGTGACATGAAACTTGTCTTCCAGCCAAGTTTCCCAGGGACCCAAATGAAAGTCTGTGGTTTAAAAACTAAATCCACCTGAGAAAAAAAGCCCCCTGCTGGGAGCTTCTGCAAGCCCTGGGCAATTCTGTCAACACTCTTCTTGTCTCTGCCAACAGCCCCCAGACCTTCTTTCTCCCCAAGATCAAGATGCAGCCAGGTCAGGGTGACAGGAGGCTGTGACACCACCACCACCACTCCCCACCCCTCCGACTGCTGGCTGTGTGACCAGCAAGTCCCTGCCCTCTCCAGCATGAGGGAAAGCAGGGTTGGGCCAGACACCTGTCCTTAAGTGTGATTTCTTTCCCCCAGTGGAAGGTCGTGGACAAGCATCTTTGGACAGTTTTCTCGTGTGTCTAGTTCTGGTGTCTCTGTGGCATAGTCCTGGTGAGCTGCATTGTTCTCCCAAAGGCAGTTCCTATCCACCAGTGGTTCTGACAGAGGAAGATGGGCTGCTAAGATTTACAGCCTTGGCAAGTCAGTGGAGTGTCCCTGGGAGTCAGACATAACTTGACAACCGTGAGTGTGAATAGAAACCCATGTGATTTCCTCAGTGTCATTGCTAAGCACAAGGTTCTATTTACAATTCAGTGGGTTACTTTTAGGGGAGCCATTGTAAAAGGGGAAAAAATCCAGTCAACAATAAGACAAGTGGTGAAAAGAGCCAAACCAAACCAGTCATTGCCATCAGATAGATTCTCACTGAATGTCATTCTATGGGACAGAGCAGACGTGGTCCCCAGGCTTGCCCGGCTTGTAAATAAATCTTTTTAGGGAGCTCTGGTGGCCTCATGGCAAGAAGCTGAGCTGCAATCCTGAAGGCACGTGGTTAGAATCTACCAGTTGTTCCATAGCACAAAGAGGGGAAATCTCGTCCCATTCGGTGAACTGCCTCTGTAAGTTTTCACCCGTGGAGCTACTGGGTTCTAAGCACCCATCTTTTCTAGCAGCTGAATGCTTCCACCACTGTGCCACCGCACTGTTGTTATTATTGTTGCTGTTACCATGTGCCATTGAGTCAGAACTGATTCATAGTTCACCGTCCAAGGAGTTTTCAGAGGCAATAAATTGCATACAAAGAGACTGCCCTTCTTTCTCCCACAGAGCAGCTGGTGGATTCGAACCACGTGCCTTTGGGTTGACAGTGCAATTCTTTACCAATAGGCCACAACTAGGGAGCTCTGGTGGTCTAGTGGCAAGAAGCTGGGCTGTAATCCTGAAAGCACATGGTTCGAGGCCACCAGCCACTCTATGAGAGAAGGATGAGCAATCTCCTCCCGTGCGATTAACTACTTCTGAAAACCCACCAGCGGGTCAGCTATGGGTCGGTTCCAACTTGACAGTACACAACAACAACAACAACAGGCCACTAAGAAAGAGACTTGGACTTGGGAGCAGGGAACTTGGATCATAAGGAGCTATAAACTCAGGAGTTCTGGGGAGGACGTCTGGGGACCTGCTTTATCCACAGAAACAAAAGTGGCAGCTTCCCAGCTGCCAATGGGCAGGCCAGGAGGGGATTATCCAGGGTGCAGGACACAAGTGCCCCTAATCCACTTGGCGCCTGGCTTTCCATAAAGCAGGAGGATGGGAGGGGTGAGGGCGGCAAATGAGGGGGTGGGGTGGGGACACAGCCCAAGGGGAGGAGGAATGTGCCCACCACACTCACCAGTCCTGGCAGCACCTTGAAGAGCGTCTGTTCCACGACCCCAAACAGTGGTGCAGGCAGCAGGCTGGTGAGGGCGAGATGTGTGAGAGTGCAGCACTAGCACTGGGGAAGCACTAGCCCAAACGACAGAGCACAGAGAAGGGCAGGCACTGGGGACTATGGATTCCCCTTTCTTCATGAGATTTGCAGGGGCTTTGGGTTTAAACCTGGCCCTAAACCCTGGTGGTGATCCCTTCCCCATCTGCACAGTGCCCCTCCTGTAGACCTCTGCCAAGATTAAACCAGAACCTAATTGCATCTGGTATACAGTCCGTGCTCAGAACATCTCTTCTCTTTGTGTCTCTCAACATTTATAAACAAGAGACAGAAGGGCTTAGGACAGTGCCTGGCTCAGACTAGGGGTTCAAGAAACAGTTGCTGAGTGAAGGAAAAAGGGACTTATCTGAGGATAGGAAGCACATGTGGGTGGACTCAGGGGTGTTTGGAGACCATGGGGTGCAGGCCTGGGGTGGGGAGACAACCACAGGATTGCAAACCCAAGACATCCACACCCACGTGATCCCTGGGCTCTGCTCACTAAGATGCCCTCCAGCCCACAGCAGCAGGATGGAGCTGCTGGAACTTAAGGGGCCCAGAGCCCTGGCCTGACATCCTGTAGTAAAGTTCTTCCAGAGGCAGGAGCAGTAGGGGCATTCAGTCTGGCCCATTCAATCCAATCCCTTATCCTAGGAGCTAACATAGAGACATCTGAGCTCCCTTCCCTGCCCAGGACCTCCCAACAAAGATTGAGAGTGACTCAGGATGTAGGAGTCAATCTGGAGTGTAGACATCACGGGTGAGGCCTGGTATAAAGCAGAGGAGGAGGCAGGTGAAGCTGGAGCTAGAATGCTGGGGGAAACCTTGCAGGAATGCCCACTGGCCCCATCTCCATCCTGGTTCAAATTCGGTGCAGGTGCACCTTGGACAAGTCCCTAGTCCTCTCTGGGCCTCAGTTGTTCCAGAGGCCTGAAGATCCAACAAAAGAGTGGGAAAGGCCATGGGTTCTGGACAGTCCAGGAGGAAGGGCCAAGCAGGGGGTACAAGCATCTTCTCAAACATCAAAGGAGGCCAGTAAAGAGGTTACTATCGAATGGACGGTGCATCCTGCACCCAGAGAACCATTCTGTACAGTCAGCGAGACTCCAGGGCAAACAGAATCTAGCAGGACCCAGGGGGATTATGTAGGTTCAGGCCCCACCCAGCCAGTCTCTAAGGAGGAGCTCAGGACCCAACCTAGGTGCCCACGAGGAGCGAGCAAGGGAGTTAGTCACGTGTATGGACAGCCGGCTCCACCTGGCAACTCACCCAGACAGCAGGCTGATGTGGCCCAGGAGTGTGCTGCAGCGCTTGAGGATGAGGATGGGCGTGCCACGCGCGCTCACGCCCAGGGCCACCCGCGACGACACGTTCACCTCTGCTGCCAGCTGCAGAAGGCCCCCCAGGGGGCTGCGAGAGCTGATGCTGAGGATGTGGCCAGGCTGGGGGCAGGGGGTGCGGGTGGGGGGAGCCCAAGCCACACCCACCCAGGACTGCCCCGTTTTCTCAACTGTATCTGCAAGAGCTCTGTCCCCTTGAATCCACCCTCTCGCCCCTCACCCCCCCCTTTTTTTTTTTTTTT